AATTTATATTTTTTAATAAATTTATTATAAAATAATTATTTAATTTAATATTTTATAATTTAAATTAATTTTTTATACATTCGGAATATATTTCGGAGGTTAAGTTCGGAGGACGAAGAATTTTTCTAACTGCCATCAACTATTAGCGTACGGAATATCATCGTATTCATTCATTAATTGCTGTTATAACTATTCTACATGACAAATCTTATTCCTTCCGAAAAAGTAGTCAACTCAATTAAAATGTTACATCTTATGTGTATTTAATTATAAATTAAATAATTTAAAAAAATTAAGTTTTTATCTTTGTTCGGAGGATTGTTCCACTTATTTATTTCACCAAAAATGATATATCCTCGAAAACTAATGTGTGTGTTGAGAATTTAAATTTTAATAAGTATTTTATGTATATAAATTAATGTGTCATTTTTTTATATCAATACTCATTCTACATTAAAGTACATCAGTATTACTACTAGTTTTTTTTTTTTTTTTGTTGCTTGTATTACTACTAGTTTAGTACTACTCCATAGTTTTTGGTAAATCATAACTATCAATATTTTTTTCGAATTAATTATTTATACTATTAATAAAAATCACATGTATTTTTTAGGTATATATTGTATTGAATATTTTATCTCTGAATATCTATAAACGTTGCTTATCTTTTATACCTTTTTAAGTACTCAAGCTCAAATTAATTTAGATAGATTGTTCAGTAGCTTTAAACAGAATTTTTTTTTATTATATATATAAGAAAAATAATTTGATATCTAGATAATTTGTTAATTTTTTCAAAAATAAGAAAAATAATAAGAATGAAGTCAAATATTTTTAAATATATATGAAAAGCTCCTTTTAATTTAGTTTTGATGACACAAATTCTTAAAATGTGATTATTATGTGACATCTATTTCAATCCTATAAAGTTGAGTTATAATATGATAGTTGTTTTAACTTTTAATTTATTTTAACCATATTTCTAGTTAGTGTGAGACTTAATTTTTTTTCTAATATATCCTTTATATTTAATATTTTTAAACTTGGTGTATAGATAAATAGCTAGCAACTCTTTTAATGGATTTATAATATATTCTAATATCATTTTAAAATATGAATTTTTGACCTACTTTATAAAATTGACTTAATTATAAAGTTGGCATTAATTTCCCTACTCATATATTTTGTCTTAATTTTTATCTTTAATTGATGAACTTGTATTTTTTTCAATACACATCGTCAAACTCAATACTTTTGAATTTAGTATATGAATGAATGATGAGTGACTTTAATAATGAATATAAGGTAGGCTAATGAGACTTAAATTATTTTCGATATACTTCATAAAGCCCAGAACATTGATACGTGTATAAATTATTAACCATCATTTTAATGCATATAGGATTGTTTTAATGTTATATTAGAATATGAATTTATCTATTGTAACATCTTGATTTTTGACATTTTTTAATATAAATAAATCATATTGCAGGTTGAATTTTTGTGAAATTTATAAATATGGCTAATACCATTGGAATATTAAGAGTAGGGATGGATCTACATATAATAGAGTGGGGACACTTGTCCTCACTACCATTTTTCACATACATAGTTTTTTTATCTAAAAAATTATATATATATTTTAAAAAATAAAATTTATATTTTAATAATATTATATATATGTATATATATTCAAATTATCATGTGTATAAAATATAAATTCAAAAGAATTGTTCATTTATTTAATCTTTGTCAAATTTTCAAATAAGATTAATTCTCATATGTGATAAAGAATATTCTTTAATAATGAATCATTTTTTTAAAAATTTAATTATTATATATATATATATATTAATGCTCACATATATAATATAATATGTTAAAAAATTATTTTTTTATAAAATAAAATTTGTAGCATGCATATTTATAAAATAAAATTAATTCAAAAACTAGATGATACACACAGATGATTGGTCATTTTCATGCAAAACGTATGGTATTCAATACAAAGTGTAACATATGAACCATGTGTACTTAAAATAAATAATAACTAAATGAATTAATAAAAAAAACATAAAGTGAGTCTTGATATATATATATATATATATATATAAACGGTTTGTATGAATTTTATACTATTTAATATTTTCTGTTTTTTCACGAGCTTGCATCCCGTGCATATTTCCAAATTTTAATGCCGTAGTTATGCATCGATCGTGATAAGTGTTCACGTATTCATTTCATAGGATGATCACTCGCATGCACGGATATAATAAATTATGCTCATAATAAAATATTAATTATTTTTTATTAATAGTTAAAATTATTTATTATTTACAATCTATTCACTTTAGAAGAATATAATAATTATGGTCACAAGATCAGATTTTATCAAATTTGGTTAACTTGATTATTCCATTGATAATATTGATTGATATTTTGTATATGTAATATTATAGATCTCACATCAATTAGTATAAGAACATATAATTTATATAAATAGAAGACAGTCTTTATTATTTAAATTGATTTTGTAAAGTTTAATTGAATTTATAATCCTTTTTTTTTTATGGTATCAGAGTCTATCGTGACATTATTGATTATTGTTGAATGTAACGGACTATTTGTTATTTAAATGTTATTGAAATGTTCGACTCTCAACATCCTCGGACTATTTGTTATTTGAATGTTATGGAAATGTCCGACTCTCAACATCTTCAACATGAGAGAGTATATTGAAGATCACACATAAAATTATAACAATATATATAATTGAAATGTAATTATTAGAAACATATCATTTTCTTGAGTTGAGTTAGATTTATAATTTATTTCATTAAAACATAATATAATTAAAATAAATCTAATTTTATATATATGGGGGTAGTACCTGGACAGCAAGCACACCATTCTTCTTCTTTGGAACAAACTTGCCTTCAATGGTGTCATCTGGGTTGTAAAAGTTGAGGCATTTGAGTTCAACATCTGCCACAGCTTCAACAAAATCAACCCCACGATTGTTACAATGCACCTCAGGTTCACCCATATTGTTGGCCACCACTTCACCTGCAAACACATAGTAAGAGATTAGGACTTGTGCTAGGGCTTTTTTCAGAGACCCCACCATGGATCCAAAGCTCATTATTTTGTTAGTGTCATTGAGCTTGGGGTTCTTGTAGCAAAAGAAGACTCCAACATCCACTTGAGGTAGAAGGAGGTCAAGGTTTGAAAGTGGTAGCCAATGTTCTTGCATTGGCACCATTGCTGCCACCACTTCTTCGTTCGTCACACTTATGGAGAAATCTCCATTTTCAGCACCCATTTTTTTTTATATAATATATTCTAGGATAAGATGTGATTAAAGGTAAGGTGTACGTGGTTCTATAGGTAATACGTCTATTTATAAGCTCAATGGGAAGGTAATAAAGGTGTCTGAGTAGTCAATGTTGGTTCATCTAGTCCAAAATTTTATTTTAATGAAAAAAACATATATTAGTAATATAGATGTACCAGTGGCCAACAAATCCTCCCAAACTTATTTTAAATTGTTTTTTTTAATTTGTTTATGGGACACTTGGTTCAATCATTGTGCAAAAGATTAGCAGGTGTGGACATGGTGGCCCCCAAAAACTCAAGAGAGGGACAGAGATCGCAGTTTTTGTGCTGAGATGGTTCTTCCCCCAACTCAATTCTTATCTCATTCTACTTACAGAAATCCTAACTCAAATTCATCTTTTACACACACACACACATATATATCATGGAATTTGAACAAAGATATCAATAAAAATTTAGAAGAGATAAAAAAAAACATAATACTATTAATCTTATTATTTTTATTCTTTTAATTTTTACAATTTCATTTCTATAATATTAAACAAATTGTACAACTTGACACTTTCGTATAATCTAAATAAAGAGAGAGAGAAAAAAAATTGTTATTCTATTCAGAAGACAATTGTAATTTATATATATTAAAAAAGATATTTAGATTTTTATCACAAAAATATATTTTATAAAAATTTATTATATTTTTCATTACGTAAATATTATAAAATATTTTATTTTCTCCGCTGAATATATTTTCGTCCCTGTATCATTGTAAATAAACATTTTACAAAAAATTGCATTAATATGAGAGTCATAATGTAATTAATAGAGAGTCATAATGAAATTAATATGATATGTTAGGTTAGAAATGATTTAAATCTGCATTTAATTAATCGTTATATAGATCCTACATTTAAAAATCATAATACTAACATTAATTTTGTATTGAATTTACATTAATATGGTATTAATGCAGTTTTTTATTTATAACAAATTAGTAAATAAAATTACATTACAGTCATCTAAGAACCAAGAACTAAATTAGGGGTTATATTGGATTAGAATTTTAAAGGATTTTTTTAGTTGAAAAAAGTCCTATGTATTTTAAAAGACTTTGCAAGATTTTCATGACTTTTAAGATTTTGTAAGATTTCACAAGACTTTCAATCAGAATTTTAATGGATTATGCAATACTTTTAAGTTAAGATTTTAATAGATTCTGCGGGACTTTGTGAACTTTGCAGAATTTCATAAATTTTTGACATAGGATAAGAATTCAAGATTTTTTTCTTACATTCAAATTTAAAAAGAGTCAAATATAAAAATAAAAAAAACAATAATATATGGATAAATAATAATAATAATTTTTCGTAATTGTTGCGGGTTGCATCAATTGTCCCGTGGCGGAGGCTAGGTGGGCCAAGTCACTGTCGAATCATGGCGCTTGGGTTGCTACGCTCTTAAGTAGATAGAGTTGTGCCTTGACTATCAGCTATAGCGTTTGGCCTAGTGATAAGTGCTCGATCCAACAATTGGTATCAGAGCCAAGGTCATGAGTTCGATACCCGCTGATAGTTTCTGGCCTAGTGGTAAGTGCTCGATCCAACAGTAATATCATGTTGTTCAAAATAGAATTCATCTACATATTCATAGCTATACTAGTCCTCCAAACATTAGTATCTTTTCGCTATTGCTTTTGTGTTTTAATAATAGGCTCAAAATTATGATTTTCATTAACCAGTAATGTTGAAGATGAAGGTTCGTCCACCATTTCAATTAGAAATTCATCATAATGACATTCTTTACGAAGAAAGTTATGTAGTCCCACACATGCTAAAAATTATTCTAAATAACATTTCAAAATTTTTATAATTTGTGATTTAAAATACTTTATTTATAGTTTTATAAATGATTAAAAAAATAGCGAGACAACTACCCTACTCTATTATAACTAAATATGTTCCTTCATTTTATATCGGTACTAAAGTAGAAATTTACAAACATCAATTGGGAGAAAAAAAATATATCTGAAATTTGTTACAGGTACAAAATAATTTTTTTTTAATTTTTAGTTGCTTTCAATTATTCACTCGTAAAGAAATATTTTTAGTATTGAATTCTAAGATATTATAATGTCTTATGTTAATTCTCTTTTTTTAAAATATAAAAATCCTAATTTCATAATATAAAAAATAAAAAAATAAAATTCATAGTAAAAAAAGAAATAAAATAATTGTTGAGTCATAAAAGGGGAAGGATAACAATAACAAACTCAAGAGAGGGACAGAGATCGCAGTTTTTGTGCTGAGATGGTTCTTCCCCCAACTCAATTCTTATCTCATTCTACTTACAGAAATCCTAACTCAAATAAATCTTTTACACACACACACACATATATATATATATATATATATATATATATATATATATATATTGTTCTAATAAATCTAAATTGATTATAAGGTATTGAAGATCTATAGTTGATTATAGAGATCATGATATCAATTTTAACTTTCACCTTCCCCTTTGACGCGTGTTATTATAAAAAAAATTACTGAGGAACAATTTCAAGTATTATTTTAAATTGAAAGATATAATCATAAAAATAATATAGAAGTTAACTTAAATTTATATAATAAAGTTTTATATATTTTTTTTTATTTTGTTTAGACTTAATTTATATATACATTAAAAACTTTTAATTTAATAATTGAATTGTTAAAATTTGATGTAGAACATGAGTCATTAAGTGCAGTAAATCTACCAAAAACTTACTTTTAGAGTAAATAAATCTATCATCTCCTACTTGTTCCAAGAATAAGTTTACCTAGACTTATTTCATTCAATAACTCATTTACTATATCAAATTTTAACGATTTAATTATTAAATTAAAAATTCTTAATGTGTAGATCAAGTCTATAAATTTTTTAAAAGTTTGAAAATATCATATGATACTTCATTATATAAATTCAAATCAATATATATAATATATTTTTATGATTATTCATGAATTTGAATTAATAAAATAACGTATCAAATACTTTTTAATTTTTTAAAAAAACTTGCAGACTTAATTTATACATTAATAAATTTTAATTTTATGATTGAATTGTTAAAATTTGATGTAAAATATGAGTTATTAAGCGAAATAAATCTACTAAAACTCACTCTTATAATAAGTGGAATTCCTTCTCTAATTTTTGGACACTTTCTTCCTAAAGCTGATTGTTCTTTCTTTTTTATGTGCTTCTTAACTTTCCTACTAATAAAAAAAAAACTCTCTATATATATATATATTAAAATTATTTATATTTTAATTTCTTTTAGTAAGCTCTTCAATAATACTTTTAAACTAATTTTTAAAGTTTATATATCAATTATATTAATAATTTAAAGGTATTAAATAAGTATAGCATAACACTGTAACTAAAACTACTATTGTTACTATTTTGAATTTTTATAGGAAATTTATGTTGATTTTACACATAAGTTTTTGTTTTTATAACATCATTATTTATAAAAAGTTATAACACTAATTATATACTTTTCACACATAAACTATTTCATTAATTAATTGTCATTTTTACTATATATATTTATCCTACAATCTTTAAACTCGTTTTTTTTTGTGACTTTATAATCTAAACTTATAAATTTCTTGTAAGTTTTTTATGCAAATTATTATTTGTATGAATTTTATAATTTTTCTTGCAATTTTTTTCTTCATATTGTGATGTGATTTTGGTAAAAACAATGTGATTATTTTTTATGCTTGTTGGAAAATCATTAAAATTTTATATATTTTCTAACGATTTAAAAAATTATATAACTTAATTATGTGTCTAGCAAATATATGATAAAATAATTTACAAATAAATTATCTATTTTTTTATGTAGTAAAAGACAAAAATATGAAAGTCTTACACACAAATATTGACAAACGTATCAATAAAGTAAGAAAAGGATATCTGAATATCATTAAAAAGAATTAATTAAGAAAATATTAATATTTTAATAATATTATTAATTTTTTATTTATCAAATTTACAATAATAATAACAAAGTTCAAACTTAGAATTACGTCCCTATTACTCAAACATTTCATAATTAAACATTTAAAAGAAATATATGGTTTTTTTGTCCTAAAATTTTGGTGTAAGTTGCTATATATTTTTATTTTTTTTAAAATTAAATTAAATTACTATAATATCCTTTATACAAATTAATTAAATAAAAAAATATATGATTTTTTTTGTCCTAAAATTTTGATGTAAGTTACTAGCATACTCCAACTTTATTCAATTATATTTAATACCTAAACTAAAAGAAAATGATTATTTTAAATTTTTTAACGTGTTATTATACGAAGTATTTTAACGGTGATTAATTTTCATCAAAAGTCGAAAGTGTACACAAGATAAATATTTCTCCCGAGTAATATATTTCATACTCAAGGATTAGGATTCAAATTATGAACAACTTAATTTAGGAACACAAATTACTATTATTCGTGTCAGCTAGTGTTTATTAGAAAAGTAACAATTTTACAAAAAAAAAATTAAAACTTCAAATATAGGGATTAAAAAAATTTATCTTAAATTATAGAAACTTCAAAGAATAGAAAAAAGATAAGTATAACAATTAAAAATATTTATTATAAATTATAAAAATTAAAAGATAAAATAAATGAAATTCTAAAGACCAAAAAATATTTTAATCTATTTATAATATCTAACATGAAAATCATATATATTAAGTGATTTTTAGTTAATTAATTATATAATTTTTTTATATATATTTTTATTTATATCTATTATACTTCTCATATATTAAAAGAAATGTCTTCTCATATTTTTTTTAATAGCCATTTATAATTATCAAATATTTTGTATGTGATACGAAATATGATGATCATCTGTTATAAATAATGAGAATGTGTGGTTATTAAATTTATGCTCCCCACTCCCACCTACCTCCAAATTTGGGCAGTTGTATACCCACACTTGACCTATCTTCTTTCTCGTCTG